GATACCGAGGGTCACGACGGGTGGGTAAAAGGAGCATGCGATAGACCTCCATGGGAAGGCTCCAAGGGGGGGCGCTCTTCCTATACTTCATACGCACAAGAGCTGCTCGAATACCGGCAAGGTCCTGGTCCACATCATTCTTGAACGTGGGACTCCATAGGTGCATGCCGTCATGGCGCTCATGGCGCTCAGGTGGGTGGGTGGCCGTGTCAACACTAACAGCACGCTGGCCTCCAAAGTATCCTGGTTTGGCTAGGTGGTCGCTCCACATCTGGACCGTGGGACGATACGTCACAGGGCTGTTATAGAACCTGCGGCCCGCACCGACAGTTGTAGCCGCCAGCCGTCGGCAAAGCCGATGGACGAGATCATGCTGATTGGCCTTCCAAGCTTCGACAACCTGCTGGCTCAAACTGTCTGCCCGATGGGTGTTATAGGCGAGCTTTTTGTCTTTGACCTCCCGCGTGACCCGGAACAGTCGCTGTTGAATCTGCGTGAGCTCGGTTATCTCAGCGCCGTCGCATTCGTCGAGGCGCTGTCGAAGACTCGCACGCTGCTCTAGAAGACTACGTTGCTCAGCCCGTGCACGTGCATACCCTTCATCCTCCTCCGTGCGCTGCGCAAAATACTGCAGTGCAATACGCCGAATGTCCTGCACAAGGGCCTCCCACCCCTCATCTGGTGCAGCAAGGCACTCATGGCTCTTCCACTGAACATACGTGCGCTCACAGTGCTCCTCCACATCCTTCAAAAACCTGGCCCGCCATAACCCATCAACCACTCCCTCCACAAGGCGATCAATCTCCCACCTTTCGCTTTTGGTGTTCGGGGTATGGGGAAACGATAATATATATATAGTGTACCTGAGTCTGTAGCGGCCAGTGGTCCCACCGTTGCCTGATTGGGGTCATCTGCAGCCGGCGCCCAATACGCTCCAGCACACGACTATGCACGACAGCAGACAACCACGAACGAGGTGCACCAAAGTAGTCGATACGTGCACTGTGCGTGCGTCCCAAATAAGTGTCTTGGCCTCCCACAAACGTGTTTATCAAGCACAGCCCGAACCGCTCCATGAACTCACGCACTCGGCCCATGCAGTAGTGTTCTCGTTGGGGGGCCAACTCACCAATGGGGTTATACTCATCTACCACATAGCTGGGGTCGGGAATACCTGCGTAATCGTTGAGGTCCCCGCCGAACGTGATGGACACACGTGCAGGCTGCTCGTCACATATCTTCGTCATCCACGCGAGCATGCAATCCACAGTTTTCTTGTATACAGACATGTGCCTTGCGACATGGGGACGAGGAGGGAAATAGGCAACGATACACAGCAAGTGAAACCTGCCCGATCTGAGTACTACTGCACCTGCTCTCCCCTGAATACTCTCGGGCGGCGAATAGATTGGGGCAGTGTGGTTCAAGCGGGAGAGGTCTTTGCGCAACCGGAGCTGGACGCCCGCATGTGCGCTCGAGAAGGGCGCCCGACTGTAACCCCAATTGAGCACATGGTGGTTGTCATCGACAACTGTCGTACAGGGTCCTTCACTGGGGAGCCTCCTGACACGCGTGCCTGTCAGGAACAGGACATCCTTCGTCTTGTACGCCGTACTGATCTCAAGACCGCGCCCGAACTGCATCAGAGAACACGAAAAGGAGGAGATCAAAGGACCTCCAAATCAGCCAGGCCGGGGGCTGGCGCAAGGATAAACGTTAATAGGTTTTTCCGAGGTCATGGGTGCCATTGATCGTTGTAAAGTAATACCAAATAAACCCCAGCAGTGTACAAACTTTTGTTTCACCCCAGTCCCGCTGAGCGATTGGCACTTGGAGATGTGTGTGCGGCGTTGCGCCGTGATCAAAAAAATAAGTGGCACATTATTTCTTCTATTCTATCGACATAACGTTGCAAGTTCTCCGGGGGAGCTTCGGGTGCACCAAGTCACATAATATTTTGAACGCATTTTTCTGCATATTGAATTCGATCGGGATTATTATGTCGGCTATTTGCTCATACGATTCATACGATCTTTCACGTGGCGATTCTGATATGATAAACTTATTTCCAAAATAAGATTGCGAATCCACTGCTGCACCTGATACACTTGCATACCCATTGGCATCGTAGATTTATGTTTGTTTTTTTTATGTCGCTTGCAAACCGAATGCGTCGATATTAAAAGATGTTTTTTTTGTTATTTCAAAGAATTTCTTCTTTGACATTCTATATTGCACGCAGGAACCAACCGCCAAGTTCTCTCGGGCCCGTCCCTGGGGATCCGTTTGGGTTGTCATGGGGCGATCTGGATTGACATTTGGGGCAACCACGGGCGCGCAGCCGTCGGGTGCAAGTGTCCGCATTGCATTATTTGACAAGGCTCGTCATGTAGTCTTCTTAACAACTCACACGGGCAAGCACGTAATATTTTTGTATGTTTCGAGCCACTCGGCCTTGAATTCCACTCTGAATCTAAATTGTTGGACAGGTTTCGGCATGGACGCGCAAACACGCGACGCGCGCGTGTGCACGTCGTCGCTGTTTTCCAAAATGGTTCTTGCTCATGGACGATCGCCGACCATCGACTGTGAATGCAGTATGTTTTGCCGAGGATGGAGGAGTGCGATGCCAGTTTGGCGGGTAGCATATGACATCATGTTGCGAATGAGCGATTCAGCAGAATGTACGCACATAAATCTGGCCTCAGGAGGGTGTGGATCCAAATTCTCTTTCGGAAGGAGAACCTGGAGTTCAAGTGATGCAATCTATGTCGTGAGCGGCGACGAGGCGGCAACGCACCCGCCGGACCGACGCACAGGCCCAGGCGACAGGCGGCAACGAGGCGGCGACGGGGCGCCGTTGGCGGCAACATGGCCGCCAGACCGACGCACAAGCCCAGGCGACGGGCGGCGACGAAACGGCGACGAGGCGGTGACGGCGGCAATATAGTCGCCAGACCGACGCACAGGTCCAATTTCTTAGAAGAGAAATGAGATCTCAAAGTGCAAGCATTGCTTGGGAAACATAGCTTACACCAAACAACAAAGTACGGATCATAACAACAAATGATTCGCCAATCTTATTGGGGCTCACCATTGGCAAGGGGAGAGGGTGAACAAATATGGCGTGATAGCCGGGACTGCTGGTGCCACAATTTTCCTGGCAGCGCACAATACGTCTCAGTACGACAATGGAGCGTTGCCGCATCGAAATATATTGAACAAGAAACGTCGAGGCTGACACCCCCCTGAATTCGTTTATATAATTTTGCTGTGGGCATTATGCAAGACTATCGACTATCCGCGGCGAAAACACCACATGCACGTAACATAAACGAAATCACACATGCTGTGGGCGGTGCCACGTCACATGATAAACCAATGCTGTATCAAAACAAGTTGCAACGATTCGCATGGATTCCCTTCCGCATAAACCGGTGCAACATGATTGACAATGCTCTACGCGGGCCGGCTTTCCGTATATTTGTATATCCTGATGCAGCAAGCAGTGTTGCAACATCGCCCAAAGCAATACCAACAAGGAGACTATGAACACTGCCCAAAAGGGGCCACCAGATCCAGTCGGAAGGCTACGCGAGGTAGGAGAAGAGAAAAAGAGGTAGGAGAGGAGGGCTCGGGGGAAGGACTGGCGCAGGAAGGGGAAACACCGACATTGGCGATACATCGCCAATAGACCGGCGAAAACGCCTCGTAGCAAATCCACCTCTGTCGGCGATCGATCGGCGATAGGAGGTCCACGTATCCCCCCTGAGCCCATCCCCCGATGAACCTGGACACCCCTGAACGCATCTCGGTGAGGCGCAGCTGCTAGAACGCATGCCGAGGCAGGGCAACCTGCAGGAACCAACGAAAACGATGAAAATTGGACGAAATTATTAAGTCGTGACCCGAACGGAGGAGGGCCTGGAAATGGGCTTTGGCACCAACACAGGGGGTTGCTCCGACTAGGGAACGATGATCCTCGATTTTGGCGCTGGTGGTACTGCCTCGGCCAGCTAAGAGCCCCCGATATTACCATCACCACCGGGATCAGGATCATCGTTCCTCGATGGAGGGAACTGCCGATCCTGGTGTCTCGCCATCGCTCGGACGCCCACTCATTGCGCATGTTTCGGCTTCGTGCGCGTACTTCTTGGCAGGGTGATTTAAAAGTGCTCCTCGATGGCCCTTGCCTGGAGAAGTTGCACACGCCCGAGCGATGCCAAGGTGCTGGTGCCAACCTCTTGGCCTCCGAGGGGAGGGGGGGGGGGGCGGCGCAAGGGCGAGGGCGCGGAGGGCGCGGAGGGCGAGCGCGAGGAGGCGGCCGACGCCACTCCGGCGCGCCCCGCGTGTGCCGCGCGCTCCTCTGGTCGGGGCGCGCGCAAACATGGATTAGCGTTAGGTCGGGCGTGTCCCCTACAGGGGAATTTTGGAAGACAAATCAAAACAACAGTCAAAAGCTACCCCCCAAATTGGCCAAAGTGTGCAACAATCGTCCCCAGATTCTCTTTTGCCTATCTTTCAAGATTCCCCCTGTAGAGGGACAGGCCCGACTTAAGATCGGCGGCCCATGGACTCGGCGCGCGGTCGCCGAATCCATGGATTGGGGGGAGGTGCCCTCTCCAAAAAGAGGCGGCCGGTGCCGCCTCGCTCGGCGGCGGAACGCCGCGCGGTGCTCCCCGGGAGCGCGGGGCCCGTCGCCGATCCACGCCCCCGGAATCCATGCTTGGACTGGGGGAGGTGCCCTCTCCCAAAAGTGCGGCCGGTGCCGCCTCGCTCGGCGGCGGAGCTCCGCGCGGTGTCCCCTGGGAGCGGGGCGCGTCGCCCATCCACGCCCCCCGAATCCATGTCTGCGATCGCCCGATCTGGGCGGGTGCCTCGGCGCGCGCGCCCCGCCCCCCTCCCGTCACCCGCGCGCGGCCCGCGCGGCGCCCCGGATAGCCCGCGCCCGCGCGGAAGCGGCGCGCGGCGGCGCGCGTGGCACCGCGGCGAGGCGCGCCCAGAGGCCCAGAAGCCAAACGCCGCGGTGTGGCGCCCCCTCCCCAGTTTGGACGCCCGAAATGGGTACGGAAAGAATGGGTACAATGTCCAACAGCAGTTCCTGTTCATCCTGAACAGGACTCGCTGTCGGTGTCGCCGCGGCCTGTGCCCATTCGAGGCAGAAGGCCGCCTGCCCGACAGCGGCCGCTGGTGGTTTGGGACAGCATTTGTTGTTGGGCATTGTACCCATTCTTTCGGTACCCATTTCCCTGACCTTCCAGGAGAGCTAAAAAATAGCACGCGACTTAAAAAACCCGTCCCAGAGCTATTCTACGTCTTGGTTTCAGGCTGTTTCGTTTAGTTTTTTTGGTTTTTAGGTCTCCAGTGCTAAAAAATAGCTCTCTGGAAGGTCAGGGTTGGGGCGTCCAAACCCAGGAGCCACACTCTCCCCAGATCTCCGGCGATGCGAGCTGCCTTCCCGTCGCGGCGCTCTCCCTTCGTCTCCGCCCTCCCGGAGGCCGCAGCCGGGCCCCAGGACCCCCTCCGACCTCGACACGGGGCGCACAGCTGCCCCCCGGAGAAGGGGCCTGCCCCCTGTAGGGGGTCCCTAAGGGAGCTCGGGTCCGATCGCCCGCCGCGTGGGCTCGGTCTCGGGTCCGCTCGGCGAGCGCACGGGCTCAGATGCTGAGCGGGCTCGGAGGGGAGCCCTGGGGCAACGGCGTCCCCTCAGGGGCGACGCGCCCCCAGGGGGGGCGTCGCAGGGCGAGGTCGGTCCCGGCTGCAGGGCGGCGCGCAAGAGAGCGCGGCCTCGTGGCCCCCGAGGGCCCTCTCCGGGTTACCTATAGTAGGCCCCGTCTTCAGGGTCTCTTGGGCCTGTGGTGAGGCCGTCTGGGGGGCCTCGTGGATCGTCTCGGGGCCCTCTGAAAGGCTCCCTTGAGGCGGCCTGGAGGGCCTGTTGGACTGTGGTGGGGCTCGGCGGCTGTTTGGAACCCCTCCGGACGCCTTCGCGGGGAATCTTGGGGCCCTCCTGGGCTACCTTGGGCTGCCGCCGCGTTAACGGGGCGCGAGCGTTGGATGACGGCCAAGAGAACATATTGGGGGACGATCGAACGAACAAGCAGCTCTCTGCCGCTAGGGCAGATTGACGAGGCAGATAGAGAACTTCAATGACGACGACGACGACGCCCACGAGCCAGCTCGGAACCCAATCTCTGAATCATCGCCCGGGGCGCGGCTGCGCCCACGGGCATTTCGCAATTGCAATCCTATTTTACCGTGCGTCTGCTCTCCTACTTTACCGTACGTCTGCTCTGGGGTTCGCCTCCACACACCCGAAGTAGTAGTTTTTTGTTTTGGCGACGTGGCGACCAGAACACTGGACGCCTTCCCCGCGTCTGTTTCTCATCCCGGGTTGCTTTCTGACGGTCAGGGGGCCCCAAGCAGGGCCCCCGGAGGCCGCACGTTGCCACCCTCAGTCCGGGTCTGCTCTGAAGGTCGCCTGGCCTCCCGCTGAACCTGCCTGGGTGCCAGCGGCCGGGTGCCGCTGGGGCGCGCCCCCGTGCTGGCGCCAGCGGCTCTACTCCTCTCCGCTGTAGCACGCCCAGCAGTCGGCCACCTCTCGCGGCGGGCGGAAAGAGCTGCGTGTTTCCGCCGTCGTCGCTAAGCCCAAATCTCCGACGATATTCTTTTGAGTCCTGACGGTCCTGAGTCTCGGTCTCTGCGGCCTGGTGTAGGGTCCCAAGTCCGTCAAGACAAAGTCGGGAGTCAGAGGATGACCAGGACGACGACGACGACGACGACGACGACGACGACGACGACGACGACGACGACGACGACGACGATGACCACGACGACGACGACGCCGGCGACGAACGAACGTCGGACGCCAAGAGACCTATCCTGATCCCCACTGGGAAGGCCTTGGCCCCGCTGCTGGACTGTACCCCTCCCGAGCGGGTGAGAAGTGCCCTTTCTGCCGGGCTCCGGGGCATCCGATCCCACCTCCAGGGGACAGGCTGGTTGTGCTGAGGAACCATAGGCCTCGTAGGGATGGGGATGGGTCTGACGATGCTGATGCTGGAGGCCGATATCTCGACTTCCAAGCACGTCCATCTCTCTCCGTCCGACTCGAGCATGACGCCAAGGGAGGGCAGCAGCAAGCATCAGGTCCCACATCCGCTCCCGGGGGCGGGGGCAGAACTCCCCGACGGCCACGGCGATGACAGGGTGCCAGAACAGCGAGCACGGGGGAGGAGGGAGGAGGAGGAGGAGGAGGTCAAGAGCAAGAGCAGGAACATCGATCGCGTCCTCGCCTCTCCGCAACCTTTCGGACCGTCGCGATTTATCTGCTGGAGACGGGCTGGCCTTGGACGGCGCTCGCCTGCGCCAGTCCAAGTCACGGCCTGCGCTCCGCAGCCGCACACGACCGGCCTCGCCCGGCGTCTGGCGAGCGCCGGGGCTGCGACCGCGCATCGAAGAGCGTGCCCGGCGGCGGGGCCGAAGCCAGCTGCGCGCAGCAGTTCCTGTACCCTTCCCCCCCTGCCCCCTTCGTTATAGAGGCCTCCAAGATGGGGTCCGAGCAGATGCGGTCGGAGGATTGCGCCGCATCGCCGATGCGTCGGCGATCGGAGACGCCGGAGTGGCGGAAATCGGGCTCCGCGTCGAGCCGCAGCGCCGAGCTGCATCGGCGATTTGGCGCGACCCTCCGACCCCGGACCCCCCTCTGGGAGGGCTACAGATTCGCGCTCCCCGAACCTTGGGGCCCCCGCCGTTCAGCACCCGCGTGTACCCGAGCCCCTCGAGGTAGGCCTTCGCCTGCGTGGCGCGCCCGCCGCCCTGTCAGTGCAGGATGATGGGCGCCGCCTCACGCACCGCCGGGGGGGGCACTCCACATGTGGAGCCTCAGGACCCACCGCGGGCCGCCCGGGGAGCAGTGGCTGCGGCTGTCTTCCCGCCCGCGAGTGCGGCCAGCTCAGAGGATCGCGTGCGGCAGATAACCCCTGCAGGGCAGGTTTCGAAGCCCCAGCGGGGGTCGGAGCACGAGGGCCGCCTGCAGCCAAGTGAACCCTTGCGGGGGTGTCCGATATTCCAGCGCCGACTGGACCCGCACGGGTAGGGCTCGGTGGCGGTCGCAGACAAATGTCCACATCCCAGGCCACCTGATGTCGCGCATCGCGCCCCACGACGCGCGATCATCCTCGCGCCCTTGGGAGGCCCCCCCTTTAGAAAGGCAGCTCCACCAATGCCCGACGATCTGATTTTTCATCATGTGGACTCCTGGAAGTCTCGACCTATTCCCTGGAACCCATTTCCCATTCTGGGCAATATTTTGATGGTTCTTGAGCCCAGGGCTGAAAACCTTCCGTCGCGATTTTGTCACAGGTCTGGGTCCATGCATCCTCCGATGTGTTTTGTTTCAGCCTGCAGTCCCAGAGGTCCCGATCCCTTCCCTGTGGCCAAGTTTTCGTCCCCGATCCATGTCTGCTGGTCCCATAGCCCGATAACCTGGCGGCCCGCACAAGGTGGTATGGGGGAGGGGGGCAGGCTTCTTAGAAGGAGGGTGCTTCTTGGAAGACGCCAGCCCCACATCTACAGATAAGGCCCGCGCCTTTCGAGAAGCAGGGTGCTTCTGAGAAACCCTCCCCCCGCCCCGTAACCCTCCTCTGCGCGAGGCCGGCGTCGAGGAAAATCCTCGGGCTCAGCACAGAACCGTGTCGTCGGAGGCCAGGGCACAGCACCCGGCGGGGCCCTGGAGCACACGAGCCTCAGGCCGTTCACGTGGGCCCGCCCTGGCGGTGGCTTGCGGACGCGGGCACGCCTCGGGCCCCACTCCTCCTCCTCCTCCTCCTCCACCTCCTCCTCCTCCTCCACCTCCTCCTCCTCCTCCTCCTCCTCCTCCTCCTCCTCCTCCTCCTCTCTCCTCCTCCTCCTCCCCTCCCTCCCTCCCTCCCTCCCTCCCTCCCTCCCTCCCCTCCCTCCTCCTCCTCCTGCTCCTCCTCCTCCTGCTCTTCCTGCTCCTTGCTCCCTCCCAACCCTGCGCTGCCCTCCCCGGTGCTTCATCGATTTCGGCTTCTGGACCGCCGCGGACCCCCAGGGGTCGTTGGATGCAGCTGTCTTCCCGTCCGCGGGGGGGAGGGGGGGGCGGCCCAGGCGTCCACATCCACCGTAGGGCGAACCGGGACAAGGACAAACCCAGACAGGGACAGGGATGCATCGGACATCGCCGAGATCCGGCTTCTCCACAGGAGGTATCGGGCGCCGCAGCCTTCTCAGAGCGTTCCGGAACGCTGCCAGAGCCTTCCAGAACGCTCTGGAACGATTTGTCCCTGACCTGTACCCATCGGTCGGAAGACGTAGGTAGACACATGAAGCAGGAAGACGTTGAAAGTAGATTGGGTTCCGTCCGCCCCCCGAGGAGGACAGAAGAAAGGTGAAGCCACTCGATCGTTGATGTCGGAAGGCGCTTATCAAAGTAGATTGGAACCTGGAAATCCAGAATCACCTGCTTTCAACGACCGAAGGGTGCAGCCCCAGGCCCGCCCGACACCGCCCCCCGGGGCCCCAGGACGCACGGACCCCGAGGCGGTGGCCGTGGGCACCGCCCCCTGGCGGTGGCTCGTGGAGGCCTTGTCGTCCGGCAGCCCCGCCGTGGGCATCGCGCCGGCCTCCCCGTCCCACTGCAGGTGCAGCGCCCCGGCCGCCACCTTCTTCGGAGGGAAGGCCACGAACCAGAACCCCTCGCGCTGTGAAAAAATCACGACGGCGGCCTCCGGGAGCCCTTACCGGGCCTCGGGACCGTCAAACAACGACTCAGGATGCAAAACTGGTCCTGGGGAATGCGTCGAGATTTCCGGGGACATCCCGCACTGAAAAAATCACGACATCGGATCGGGGACAACCCGTGAGGCCTCCCAGGTGGGGTCAGAGAAGACAGGGTCGGAGGGTCGCGCCGCATCGCCGATGCCTCGGCGATGCATCGGCGATGCATCGGCGATGCACCGGCGATGCACTGGCGATGCAT